AGGTTGTTCTCTCTCCCTGATTTTCCTGGATGTGAACAGCAGTTATGTGGAGGTTGAGGACACACTGTAGTTCTCATAAGCTCCCTTCTGAACAATGCAATTTTTACTTTCTGAGATTCTTTTACCGTCATGCTAATCTACCTGTAATGCCATTTGATGTGCAAAACCTATCAGATATTTTAACTTTCTCATTTAGTCAAACAAATTAAGAAATTAAAATCAACAAATTAAGACAATCTGTTACCCAAGAATTTTTTAAATACCACTTCCTTATCCAAACACTAACCATTTACATCCACCAAAGGAAAAAGACTGAGGACTGTCTACATATGCAGTATTTTCCAATTAACTGCTTCTGTTTAATTATTAAAAGACTACATTAAGCTCAACAGGAAGAATTTTTTTTTATTATTTTAGAATAAGAATGCTCTCATGTGAGTTAATCAGGAACAATTTCATGTTTAAACAAGCACTACAGAAATTTAGTTCCTTTGCAGTTCCAGTTTTATTCAATGAAAAGATTCATTGCATGATGCTGCCATGACCAGGCAGGCTTAGTGAGTGAATTGCAAATCTAATCAGTTTGGCAAAGGGTTTTATGGAAGCTGCTGTGCTGGCTTTGCTGACTTCAAGTGATTTTTTTTCTTTTGTCCACTTGTTGCAAACAACTAAAATCTAGGTCAAGGAAGGAAAGGTCATTCATTAATTATGGAAGTGCAAATTTTTATACAGCATTGGAAAGGTTTCAAAAACAGTTTTGAATTTTGTATTTAACATGTATTCAGTTTTCTCACTATTTTCCCCCATCTTTCTATACATCTAAATTTCAAGCATCTTCCTAGGAAAAGGCAAAATAATTTGTGCCTTGTAGGCAATCAAAATTTAGGGCATTGAGTTTAAACAAATATTCAAACAACATTATTAACAGGTAAAATATTTATGGCACAATACATTTCCATATTTCTGTACACTGTAACTACTCTAATGTTTATTTTCAGACCATCACTGGCTTGCTCATCCTCTCCAACTTAATTCTGTCAGGGGAAATTTTTGTTCTAGAGGTTCTAAAAGTCAGGGTTTGAACTTTTAGTAATCACATTTCACAGAATCACAGAACATGACAAGTTGGAAGGGACCCGCAAAGATCATGAAGTCCAACTCCTGGCCCTGCACAGGACCATCCCCAAGAGCCACACCATGTGCGTGAGAGCATCATCATTGATCTCTGCCAGGCTTGGTGCTGTGAACTGGGGAACTGCCCTGGGGAACCTGTTCCAGCACCCAACCACCTTCAGGGTGAAGAACCTTTTTAAGCCCAGTCTTACTTTCTGTGATGAGGAACTATTCTAAAATGCACATTTTTTCCTCAACTGCAATTAACAGTCCCTGTGTGGGTGTGCTGGGAGTGCTCTGCCTTGTTTATTTATGTCTCTCACACCAGCAATCTCAAAGACAACACCCCAAACCTATCCCAGCTCGTTCCACACATCTGGGAACACAAAAAAAGTGAAGAAGGTAACATGAGACAGTCAGGGAGAAGTGTTCTCAGTTTTCACTAGGGCTAGTTCACTAGTTTTTCTATCACCTCCTGCATGGCACACATATATTGCTTTCTTCGCTTGTGGGTGTGTGTTTTTAGGACATACCAGACAAATAGTATGTTTTTTAGCATACAAGCTAGAAAGTAAACTTCTGTGACTTTCTGACCACATTGAGTGCATGCATCAGTTCCTATTACTCAACTCCTAAAGTCAAATCATCATCTCCAAGGATCAAGGTTCACTTTTAAGCAATTGAGCAATCTAACTGGCAGGTAGATCAAGGCATGATAACTTGCTTCTTGAGTGCAAATAAAGGTACACTGACCCATTTTACTGTGGAACTGTTCTTAACATTAATAAAATAAAATGCAGATATTCTGCAGTACTGATGTGTTTTCCATACAGAACATAAAAGACTATCTCAAAGCATTTTCATTCTTCCCCCATGAGGTATAACAGTTTTATAATCTCCATTTCCAAGTGGAGTTATAAAATGGTCTACTTAAGGGCAAGAGAGTGCCCAGACAGAAGCTGCAGCAGAACCCACAGACAGATCTGGTTTCTGAATTCTCCTTCCTCCTCTGCCTTGTTATAAAAAGCCCATCTAAACCTGAAAACTCTCAAAAGTCACTTCTGCACTTCTCTCAAAGTCACTTCTGCACTTCATCATGCTGCTGAGCTAGGATACAGGCATATATGCACATCTGACTGACAGTTCCCATGATTAACACACTGTTTAGTAAAAAGCATACTACATCATAGGTGAGCACTAATGTCCCCCATCACGCTTTTTGGCTCTCCAGCTCTGGGAATTTTTGCAGTACAGCTGTACTTATCAGAGAATAAGTGTTCAGTGTCAAAATATTCCTTCTGTTTCACTTCACCACTTCATTTTCACTTAAGATTTAGGGACTTCAGGAGTTTTCTCTGTTCCATTCCAACTTTCAACATGCCAGTTTTAAAGCCCTTTGCTGTCACCCCAGAGGCTGACTGACCATTACTGGGAGAAGGGACTGATTTGTCTGTATTTGTGGAAATACGAGCTATCACATCCACCAGGCGTGCAGGCAGCTAGAAAAGAAATCTGAGCAAATGAGCGTTCTGCGGACAATAAACAACAATCAACAGATGTTTCAAGCACTTGCTGACCAGCTGCACATGGCAGGGCAACCAGCATGCAGTGGGATCAGGTCATGAACAAGGCTGTGCCTGTCAGCAGTGACTGCAAGCTTTCAGATCCTGTGTTCTGCTGCATGCCAAATTTATTTCAGCCTTGGGATGCCAAAATGACAGCTGCTTTGAGAGGGAAGAATCAGGGTATCAATCTTATGAGGGAAGTTTGCATCACTCAGCAATCTGTTTGGTGTCAGAAAAGGAAGCTGTTACACAAGGTGGTCAAGCTGCAGACATGTGTAACCATTAACCATAGTTTGCATGCAGAAGCACAAGGATGGATCAGGCATGGGAATTAATATCTAAAAGTCAATTAAGAAGGCTTCCATAGACGTGTAGGTAACAGGCTGGCCCTATCTAGAAACCAAAACATTGTGGTGAAGTCATGAAGGAACATAAAGATGCTCCATTGTAGATAGTAAAATTTGAACTACATTTGAAATAACAGTCTTATCACATTCTGTAGTCAATATCAAATCACCACATTGCTTCACGACAGCTCTACTTCTCAATAAATTTGTTATACATGCTTAGTATTGCTGGGTGCATGACCTTATGCCAACTTTGTGTTCATGGTAATAAAAGATATATTTTGTGATTTACTTCAGTTTGAACAGTGGTTTTTGCTGAAGTTTATGATGGGGATTGCTACATAGTTTCAGTGTATTTACTCTGTTATTTTGTAATTTTTGCTGCATCTACATAATCATCGGGTGATCTGCTACTTTCAGCTACAGTGTCCTGCTCCCTATCTACAGGTAGGCTGTTGCTTTTTGAGATTTAAGGGAGAAATGAAAAGCAGCATACCACTGTCCACTGAGAGGGTTATTTTAATACACACTTAATTTGTAAAGTACCTGAATTCTTTCATCTTTTGTGGATAACATCACGCAATGTATTGAAATAACTTGGTAGCTAAAAACAGTCCGACCATGGCTATATATATATATATATATTTACATATCTTTATAGATGCTGTGGTAAGCCTGCATTCCAGTCCTTCAAGCTAGGTCATGAAGGTATGTTAAGTATCTCCCCCCTACAAAAGACCTACCCTTTGTGAATCCCTCAAAAGTTTTGCCTTGCTTTGCTGGCCAAAGGTGCTTTTTCCTAAGGGCCATGGGACACACTGTCAGCTGAATGTTGCTGGTGTGCCCCAGACAGTATGGGGCTGAGTTCTGCCGAGAAACAGCAGCTCTGACAAGGTCACCATACCTCTTGCCACATTTCCTGACATTTTTCTTTATCCAACACTTCCTCATCCTTTCTGGAACATCTGAATAATCTTTATTCCTGAAGATTGTGTACATCTTGGCCTTGCATAGACCCGCACTGCAATTCTCATAACAGGGCAAAAGGAGTATTTTCAAGCACTGTAAAAGCTAGGAGTCCAAACATTGTGACTCAGACCTCCAGAGCTCCAAAATGTAACCAGACTTGGCATTCCATAGTTTCTGGTGAGCCGTTTGCAATATCATCATAATAATAGCATTTGTAATATAACAGCATTGAGGTAATGGAGCAGAAACACCTGAAGACTGGAAGCACTATTTTGTCAGAAGAGCATAAACTAAGAGTTTTATCAGCAGGACCTAAAACTGAATGTGAATACATTCAACAGAAATAAACACTTCTAGTAAGACTCTGTTGTACAACAAATAACATCTTTTGAAAAGGCATTTGATTTCTTCCTGATCATTTGTAAGAGCAATAGAAGAATGTTTTTGCAATGACACTTTGCTGGGGGAAGGGGAACTGAAAAAAAGCCCAAAACCTTAATGTAACACATAACCTCCCAGACAAAATACTTTCAGATAACCACTTCTGTAAATTTTTACTTTAAAGGCATCTCTAATCAGGGAAAAAAATAAAAATATCTAAGTATCAAGCTCCTGTATTATTCTGGCGTGACAAAACACAAGATTTTCAGTTCTCAGTACAAGGAATGTTTTAGTCTCATTAGCATGATGTTAATACCTAGCCAGACCTTTCTTTTTTCACTATTACTAGTGAGTCAACAAGCAGCTTTTAGTATCTTGTGAGACAAGTTCCAACAAAGCTGCAGTTTGATTTTTTTCTGTGATTAGTAAATCAAGACTAGAACATATGCCCACACACATCCTCCACAGTCAATTCACAAGAGAGGGAAGATGTTGGCAATCTCTGTTACACCATTCCTTGTTTTTATCCCAAAGATCAAAATCCACGAGAAAGAGAGGGCATGGCCTGTGAGGACACTAACAAAAGGTTTCTTGATTAAGCCCAAGAAGTGAGAGACTGCATTACCTTTACCACAAATCATCCTCTGCCAGGATTTTCCCAGTACGAAGGCATTCAAGAGGTAGCCACAGCTCGGAAGGTCTCGTTGAAGTCTCAAATCTCTAAGCAACACACCTTCATTGGCAACACAGTTCCAGAAGTACAACAATAGGAGGCATTGCGATATTTTAGGCACTCTCAGGTGAAGTCTTGGCTCTCTCCAAATCTCGAAAATCTGTGAAGTTCAAAGTTAGAGCTGTGATTTGTTGAGGGGACAGGGCAAATAGTCACTTTTCTTAAGAGACCAGTATTGAGAAAAGCCTCAATAGGACCCAATTAGAATTTTGGCCACTGCAACATTGCTCCTTCCCCAGCAATTACAAATATAAAATTACAATTTTTATTTTTTTAAATAACAGGCTTATTGACTCAGAAAAAAGGTTGGATAGGTCAATATGCTTTCTAAGAGCTGTCAATAGTAACCACCTTAGAGTGTGTAACAGAGAGCGCCTTCTCCTGTTGTTTCCTGCCAGTGCTCTGCAGATTACAGACTTTGTTTGGCCATGTGTTCATTCAAACCACTGTATTTATTGACAGTTTCTACTTTATATAACTTAATTTATATTACTGACCTCTACAGCACAGTGGAAACCAGATATGTAATTCAATTGTTCACTCTGGGAAAAGGGACTTTCTGCTTCAAACTCCCCTGCCCAATAACTTCACTGTTACATGTTTATAAGTGAATGAACATTTCATAGTCATCTTATTCATGTATAAATTTCTGTCATACCCCACTTCAATCATCTGTTTTTACACAGAAGGCTCATTGTCCAATTCATATCTCTAATAGATATCATTATGTGTTTCTAAACACTTTGGCCATTCTTTGTACTTTTATCATATGCCTTTGAGACAGAATTGTCAGAATACCACACAACATTCAAGATGTAGCAAAGACAGGGACTTATAACAGTAGCATAATTGGACACTCTGTGTCATATGGTATTCCATTAGTAATTCCTAATTTTCTAATTCTCTTTTTGACTGCTAGCAACCATTGAACTGATGGTGAACTTACCACAGGAAGACCTAGATCCTGAATGGAAGAACTTAATTCATAATCCGTTTTTTAATTCAAGCAAATTGCTTTGTATAGTATGAACCTTAGTCTGTTATTTTATTTCTCCGTCATTTATATATGAAAACTTTTCTTTAGAACCAGCTTTAGTTTTAACTCACAACAAATTTTATAGAGGCAGCAAACACTTGTCCACTAATACTCATATCCCTTCCTAGGTTTTTAAACCTGGCAAACAGCATACACCCCTCTGGGATCGGTCTCTAAGAGAAACATGGATTCCTCCCCTTCTCTTCAGCCATCTCGTAATCTACAAAAGGATCTTCTCTTTACTGCATACCAGTTTCAGTTCTCGAGGGCTTCAAAGCAACTTGAAAAATCCAAGGAGGTTGTGACAACTGACTCATCTTTTTATCTACAGGCTCATTGAAAGAATTCCAAGAGGCGTGATGTCCCTTTGCAAACTCCGTATTTTCCATGTATTTGCTAATACCATTCTCATTACAATTCCTATTATGTTCCTGGCTGAGAATTCAACTTAGTGTCTGTAAATCTCCCAAGCACCCTATTTCAAACTTTCTCAAATGTACTCCGCTTTATTCCTCTGGTACCATGATAAATGACAGTTAAAACTCCATTTGGAGGAGTTCAGAAATTTCATACATGCACTCATTCAATTCTCAAGAACAGCAGTAAATCCATATAAAACTAACAGTTAAGAAAATACTGAATCGATTGATGATGTACTGAGCAAATAGGATGAACACACACACACAGAATCTTTATTTCCAGGCTCATAATTATGCACTTATGTGCTGTTAGAACATGTGTAATTGCCAAACTAGAGGCTAAAAAAGGCTGGCTGCCATCTCTTCCTTATCCCCAGTCTTACCAAGTTGTGATCTCAGGAACTGAAGAAGCATCATGAACCCAGAAATCATGTCTGCCCTCCAAAAGGTTACAAATATCTCCTTCTCTTCAGCCCTCAGATTAACAGGAGGCTGTAAGCCTGCCTAGTATAAATAATGCCAAATGTATCTCCTCTTTTGAAGCAGGCTGCTGGGAGCAACTGGCTCATTGTTACAATTCAACTGGCAGCATGAAAACCCTCTTAGATAGCAAGACTCCATTAAAATCTCTAATCTCCTTGGGCCCATGTTCATCTTCCAACAATATCATCAGTAAAAAGGAGTCATTTTCCAAGCAACACCAATTTTCTGAATTCTTCATGGTTTTTCATAGCTCAGCTCTACTGTCTTCTCATTTCTTATTTCATGATGAGAACTTGGACTACCCCTGTGTATTTAGTTGGGTTTTTTTTTTCTTATTCACACAGCAACTCAGAACAAAAGCAATTCTAAAATATTTTATGAGAAGAGGTGTCTCTTTCATGTTAAAGAAGCTGCATGACTACAGTAAGCCAACACCTAAATACTTGTGTGCCTTGTCTCCACATGCCTTAGTTAGAGACATAACCTTAGGTGTTATTTATATGAATGCACATTCATGACTATAAAATTCTTGGCAGTTCCACATTATCACACTTACAAACTTTGTAGATGATTGCAGTCTCCTGGCTGAGCAATAACCTTCCAATGAGTCAACTTCTGTCCCCACAGCAGTTGACAGCACGGTTCTCAGCACAGACAGTTATCTCCACATAAGCAGGTGGGGCTCTGTGGTTTTTCTAAGACTAGGCAGGTATTTCCCTTGCATCAAAAACGATGGCATTTAACCATCGAAGTTCCACTGTGCCATTATCTGGTAGTCCACACACTTCTCATTCTAATCCATGCTATCCAACATAACATTTCCTCTAATCCATAACATTCAGAAATCACATCCAACAAAATGAATTTGTACTTTAGGCAGCACAGCTCCACTTACTTGCAGCTTACTGCTTTTCCATACACTGCACATTTGACCCTTTTAAACTTCATAACATTCAATAATACATTATGCAAAATGAAAGTTCATTATTCAAAGGGATAAAAAAATATATATAAAGGCTTCATTTTAAAATCTGTAGCTAAGAGAGTCATTTTTAACTGTAGGAAACCTGAAGATTTTTTCACAAATTACTAGTGGAAATAAAAGTGGATCTAAACAGAGAAGATCCTTGTATGTTTCTAAAGGATAACAAGAAAGATTAGTTAGGACAGAGGCAACAGAAAGTACTACTTTAAAAAGCCCTTTTTTCACTAGTTGCTGCAAGTAATTTATTTTCTTGAAAACTGCAGTTCTAGAACTCCTAAAGAAATAAGATCTCTTTTTTTAAAGGGAAAATACAGCCACCCTGTTTTTCTAAAACCTGTTTCAATATTTCATTTGTCAAAATCAGAAAGAATTTGGAAAGCATGAAATGCTGGCAGTGACAGCACTATGGTTATAGGGTTTTGAGTCATCAGCTAGGCTTCCCTCTTATTGCTATTCCCCCTTCCTTTCCTTTTTCTCTTTATAAAGCAGAAACTGTCATGATTGTTGTTAGAAAACTTAGTATCTTAAGTACTTTACTTTTTCTACTCTTTCATGTTATTTAGCTTGAATATGAGGGAACAGTTGGGAAGACAAATAAACCATTTAGTGATATTTAAGCCTTGCTGTTGAAAATGCACACATGATGACTTTATTACATTAGTACCTCCAATATTTGTAAAGGAAGCAATCACTGGAATATAATTAGACATATATGAATAAATAGATGGAAAAACTGAGTGCCTAGTAATCTTCTAAATATAGAAATTTACTCACTTTCTAATTTAAAACAAATATATTCAAAATGAAATCTGCAGAGCTCTCAAACAAGGCCTGTGGATTCCTGATAATGCCTGGCTTCTGGACAACATAGTCCAAAACGCCCTTTTCAGAGAAATAATTTGACATGCTGAATGATGCAATCGCGACCTCAGCTCCTGCCAGTGTCCATCATGTCTCTTGAGTGGTACACACATTAACACAGAAAATATTCAGCTGCACATCCCTTCCCTCCCCCTGCTCTTTCCCAGAACACAAGAATCTGGTGGGAAACTATGCAAAGCAGGTGCTCAGTGTCACCACATGTGGACACATCAGCCAGCACAACACTACCACTCAAAGTTGTCACCTTTTGTGGTTCTTGTGAAACTGCCGCTCTGCAACTGTGGGACGCAGCCTCTGGCCAGGGTAGTGAGCAGGAAACCAGAAATTAGGACTTTAAAGCATTTTTGGTTGAGACTTTGGTTGATGCCACTATCTTTCTTTTGTCCACCCACATAGATACATTTATCTTTATTTCCTTCAAATCCATCGTTACTCTTAAAAGACGAGTGAGGCTCAGAATGACCTCCTTTAACAGAGCAGAGCGCTGGCCCTTTGATATTTGAACTACACAAGCTCCTTTTCAGAGTAGAAGAGTGCATGAACCATATATGCTTATCACCTAAGCATGAAAGGGGCCCTGGTTCTCCACTGCCCAGTTGCCACTGCAAATACTTATGTCTCTGAAAATGCAGTATGAAGTTATATTATAATGACTGTCATTCCAAACAGGCATTACAATGAAACCCCTTCAAATGTTAGCCTGTTAGTTGATGGTCCATTATTTTAGGATTAAAACAGCTCCCTATACTTGTCCCCTTCTCAAAGGGGATCACCAGTCTTGCTTTCCCTCTCTTTTACTATTGTAATTACTGGGGGGGTTCACTTCTTTCACGAGTTTAATTGAAGATTTCCTCCTTGTCTGTGCCTCTCTAGGGTGAAGGCAGGCCCAGGATCCTCCTGCAGACACCTCTTGCCACCAAGTGAGCTGAATCCAGGATAAGAGCAGGACCGACTCCGCATTGCTGCAGGTACAGAAGTCCCCTGGATAACTGTTCTCCTCAGGCAGCATAAAATTTCGCTCAGACCTCATCCCAGCGTCAGCACATACCCACAGTATGTTGCTGGCCTTCTCTACCCTGTGCCTTTGGATCAGGGTGCCCAATGCATCTTTCCTCCCAGGTGAGACAATGCACCTGAAAAAAAAGCCTCCAGTACCAGCACAAGACTTTTGGGGCTCACAGCACCATCGCTGTTCTCCACGTGCCCCAAGCACTGGAAGGCAGGAGGAGAGCAGTGGGACAGGAACCGGTTCGAATGCTGACTTCATGGTCTGCAAACATAGGGATGGGAGCAGA